ATATTGTCCTTTGCAGAAAATAAATCCTGTAACTTTTAGCAAGAGGGAGACGAGATGGCTCCCGCGACAGGCAATATTTTTACAAAATCACTTAGGTCGTCTTGCGCGGAAGTCGAGTCTGTCCTTATCGGCGACTTCGTTATCGTCGTCCTGCTGTTACCGGAACCTGCGTCCGTACCTAACGAGTTGCTACTTGTGTTTGGAGATGCTCCCGAGACTATATTTTTCCGTGTGTTTTTCGTTTTGCTCCTTGTTTTCCGGACTCTTACGATGGCAACCTTCTGGTCATCAAGGTTCTGCTGCACTACCGTCTTTAAGTCAGCAAGCTCGTTTTCAAGCTGTCTTACTTTGATTCGTCCTCGTACCTCACAATTTTCTCAGTAGCTACGCGTTTAGCACGATTTGCTGGTCGTTGGATGGAGGCGCAGGTACAGCAAGCGCTGATTCTGGGTTCGAAGAACAGCTCAACAGACCTATCTTCTAACGAGGTGCAGGCGCTGGCCGTACTATTACAGTCAGATTGTAGAGACTCCATAAACTTCAGGGTGAGAAAACAGATGTATTTTCGCTTTCCAGGTTATAACGAATAAGCCAAATTTTATATGACGAATTGAAGTGGGTATTCAAAACTTAGTTGGTAAAAAAATACTTGAAATCTGGTTAATTGTATGGAACTTAATCACCAACGACTTAGCCCTTCACAGATCTCGCATGACTTGAATAACTTCAGACCTTGAAGGATTTTGAGAGATAGTATTTTTAGACTGTAGATAACCGTGAGTTGGTTACGTAGTCAGTTGTACCGTGCTGATTAACAAATTGCACTTTACTCAGTTTGCTGATGAATTTCGACGCGTTAAAAAATATTCCAAACATGCAAATAGTAATTCTGTACGTACGGTTCCCGTATCTATGTCAGAAACGATAACTCTGAAGCGGTAACCATGTCGAAATAGTCCAAGTTGGAGCGAAGAATAATTTCGTCGTGTTTAGTCGGGTTCGTATCTGCTCATCACCATAGGTCGTGAAGTTGCACCGTCTTCGGTCTCTGTAACATTCACCATTGTCAAAATGCACCGGTCGCTTGTGTATGTATGTGGTAGTGGTCAAGAATTTTAATATTGATGTGTTCTAAGGGAGGTCCAGTAAGCAGGGATTTCAAAGGCTGGGACCTTTAAAGAAGGCCTACCTTAAACAACCGTTACAAAAAGCAGCAACTTTCTAACGTAAATGGAATCAGTAGAAGCACTGGCTGATAGCAGCCTCAGTTTTACATGACGTAAAAGACCTAGTTTTCGGTAAACGTTATTCAGAGCAGGGAGAATGGAACTACCAGGCACAATCAATCATAGTTATTTATTGCTTCGTATCTGATGAGTGAAAATCCGTTGCCGGTAAATAAATGAGATCCTATTTTCAATAGAATGTTAACAATCTCTGAGTGATGGCGTAGTTTATTGTCGCTTGACAGATGCCCACTGTGTAGTTGACGATTAGAGACTACCATAGTAACAGAAACTGACATCGCCAGACGGTATCATGTCGGTTCACTCCGTATCCTGTTAATCAGAGTACGACTGGTTCATCGACATTTGTGCACTTTGCACCTGGTCGTTATTGGCGTGCGAAGTCAAACTGCTGTAATAATTCTTGTCACCCAAATTTAGACGTTGGTCATATTCTGCCGCCATTGGAAAGCTTTATGACGTGTGAGAAACGGTTCAAACCGCTTAACGACTTTTTGATAGCTGGCTGTTCCAGGCGACACTCAAAGTGATTACATTCTGGTTTAGATAACGTCTTCCCTGAAACTCAGATCGAACGTCCGGTTTCCGCCTAGGCACCTTGCGAAAGAGATCCATTTATGGCAAACCCACATGTCGAGTAGTGCAGTTGGTTGCGTCAAAATTGGTTAGGTAATAAATCGAGTTGTATTTTTTCTAATGGAAGGTGACATTACTTGGTACAGTTGAATTGGGACTTTTTCTCTGGCAGCTTATGTGAGGGACACAAGTTCAACGAAATGGCGCACGACACGTCGGTAGTAAGCAGTTAGCTTGAGGAAACCGCTTATGGGCGTATGTGTTCTAGATGACTCAAGACTATAACCGTCAGCTTTAAACATCAGCACGTGGACATCATTGCATCAAATTTAGATCCAATAAAACGAACCTTGCGGCGTAAAAACGTGCACTTCTAGGGGCTCAGTCGAATTCTGTCTCCTGCACCAGTCGTCGGACCCTATCAAATGTCAGGTTATCTTTTGCCATCCTCGCTGAGTAGACCTTGGCCTCGTCTTGTTGCTAAAGATTTTTCTCCAGCAGAGTTGCCCGCTGTGTGTAATTTTTCGGTCACTGTACACAACTTTTTTAATTAAGTATATACGAGGGATATAGGCTGAGCCTTGAAAAATCCTATTCACAGACAGACTTATGAAAAAGCATGCAGATGGTTACATAGCAGTTATGTCAGTCATTGATATCGTGTGAATTATTGACTACCAAGCATAAATTTATTTAGTCTTCTTTTAAAGGTCTCAATGTTTCCCGCTAAGAGAACGGAGTCCGGCAATTTGTTCCATCCTTCAACCAGTCGGTGGGAGAAGAACCTGGTCTGCAATTCGAGTTTGGCATATCTTAGCTCCAATTTATATTGATGGTCTCGAGGATTTGTCGTCCGCGCCAGTTCGAAGAAATCGTCAAACTGAAGAGCACAGTATAGCCGTCGGACGATCCTGAAGGCCATGCTCATATCCCTTTTGCCACCAAGTTATGCTAAATCCACCACGGCGACAATGCTTTACTTTACAGATTCAACAACGAAATACATCTGCAGGGAAGCACACGTCTTAAGCAGTGCACCCAATGAAAAAGAGTGTTAAGACAGTAAAAGTGTAAAAGATCATTACATATCAAACCTGCGCAAAAGAGGAATAGGGAACATTCGCCGCCAATGCTAAAGATGATGTACTTATGATGAACGTATCTCAAAATGCATTTATCGCACATTCAGTGGTGCTTATGGGCACTTTTAAGGGAACCCACACATGTTTCAGCATGATTAGCAAACTGGGTGGAAAAGGAACAAATGGATAACTGAAGGAGTCCCTGAAGATAATATCAAAATCAACGGGACCATGACTTCGTCTACCACCGTTTGCCCCATTAAAGGACGAAATAATAACTGCCCGCAAGTCACCAAGCACCTCCTAGGTAAAAAGATAATTACAACCTCTCCTGGAACGACGTTGGCTCAAATGTTTGTCTTCAGTAAAATACCGTGAATTGGCTGTCTGTCGTATTGTTATTGGTTTTTCCGAATTCCATATAATCCGTCTAATCCCGCTTACAATAACACAATCCGCCTACAGCCACTTGCATCATGTATAACTGTGAGAATAAAGCCATCGCAAGTCCTAGATAACACCAGTTAAGTTGGTCGTCACGTGTATGCTGAACTGTACTGTTTTATGTAGACGTTATTCGAAACAGCTGTTAGGAAGATGTGCATGGACCCTCACATCATTGTGTTCAAAAAGAGGATAAGAAGGGGGACAATGAAGACTCTCAGAAGACATAGAGGAAAAAACTTTATTTTGAAAGTATCATTGAAAGTTTTCAGAAAAAATGACTGCATTCATTTTGGACAAAATACAAATTTGCAAATGAATTGGGACTAAATAGGTTTTCTTGAAAAGGAGTATATATTGCTGGCACAGTGGTGGTTTTAGTTTCTGTATTTCGCTTTCTCCATACGTAAGGTTTCGTGCCAGAAATGGCAATACAGAATGCTGGTGTGACGATGTGCGGCATCAAATATGTCAAAAGTCCCGGCGCATGGGACGTTAGGACTTCAGATAAGCTAATTCAAAATGAGGGGGATGAACAGCGCTATCCAACATTCAACCAACAAATCGCTTGAGTGCTGTGAACTGTTTTTGTATTGTGATACTAACTAAAAGACGAGAAGGCAAGAGTCGGTTACGCAGTCCAGGTCCAAAGTGTAAGCATAAGGTGGATAGTGAAAGTAAAGTAAGCCGAAAGAGATAATAAAATCGTTAATGGGGAAGGTAGCCGACGCTAAAACGTGAAAGGCAACCTGATGTATGGCAAGTATGCCGTGAGATTGAAGGAAGTCTACAATCCCTGCAAAAGACCTGGTTGATACGACACGCCGGGCAACAAGACCCCAAAGCTAACGGTAAACCTATTCGTAACCCCGAAGTAAACCTACTCATTGGCGTAATTGTAGACTTAACGCTAACCCTAAACTTAACACCAAACGTTGCCCTAAATCTTCCCCAAACCCTACCCCTATCCCTCACCCTGGACTTACTTCTCGATGTCATGCTCAGTCTTGTGGGGGTATTTATCTATCCACAGCTTCTGTCCCAGATAAATGGGTAAGCAGCCCAAATCCATGAAAAAGATTCAGATTCGTCTATGAACTGTTGCAATTTTTAGAATTTTGCCGAACTGTCGGCGAGAGTAAACCAGCCAATGTCTACCTGAACCTCTGTGGGTGTTATTAATTATCAAAGCGCGGTGGAGCGTGGCGCCATGGTGTAGTGGTTAGCACTCAGGACTCTGAATCCTGCGACCCGAGTTCAAATCTCGGTGGTGCCTGCGTTTTCGCGGAGTGCGATCGCCTCCTGTGGCAAGCCGCAGATTAGCAATTTGTCGCAAATGACCAGGTAAACGCTTTCCGTAACAATCTAGAAGGACTATGCGCGAGATGGGAGGGTAGCCTTATAAGCGAAATCGACTAAAACACGTCAAGCCGCCTTCACCCCTTCCCCTCAACCACCCAAGAGAAGAACTTCTGTTGAAAACAGATGTGCAGGAGTACTGGCTCGAAGGAGTATAGTTTTGAGAAAACAAAATCTCCAAAATATGCTGTAAGGTCATCAAAGGTCTAGATCTGCCTAATAGGAGTTGCTTGAAGACTTCAGAAGGGGATGCAGGATCTCGGGAAGGGGGGGGGGGGAAGGAGGGGTGTTCTCAGGCTCGGAAAGACTCTATAATTTGCGGAGCAGAAAAGAAAATACAGAATGTGCTTATAAGATTGACGATACTGAAGATGACGAGGCAGAAACGATCGATGACTCGAGCAGTGAACTTCCACTCCTTGCGCACTGCCTCCTCCGCCTCGTCGGCACGCATTTTTCGGGTGATTGAACGCAGTTCGTGCAAAATGCTGCGCAGATGGGACTGGTAGATGTCGGTGTGGTGCTGGGTATCCTCGGCATGACAATCCTTGCAAAAACTGGCCTCGGATTCAGAGCGGGAGAGGACGCCATCAAATCTGGGTCTCGCGTAAGTCACATCATCGACGTCTGTCAGGGGATATAGACAAACGTACTAAGGGTCTCAGAGCAACAGCAGGAGACTTATTGCAACAAACAGTAGATACAATGAAGTAATTTACTCCAAGGATGTTAACTTGAAACGAGTATTTTGACCGTATAGCTCCGGCATGAAACGTAAGAGGCGGATAAACAAGTTTTATGTTCAGTTCGCTGGTATCTCGCTTGGGATACGGCGTCTGAGACAACATTGCTTCTCTGTCTTGGCGCATGCTTATACGTACGCACCAGCGGTTGTCGATCGTCCGACCTTCTAAAGACCCTGTAGGGCGCCATCACCGTGTTTGGTCGATACCCGATACTGAGAGGCTCCATGTGGTTTTCGGCCAAACTCAGCCATCCAAACCAACCAAGCAAATTCGCGGTTGACGCGGACATGCTCTCTCTAAGGCCACTTGGATGCCTTCCCTGACATCACTGGACGGGCGCTTTTCCCGCCGAACTGCCGACTTGCTCCAACTTTTTGTTCCTTCAGCCTAGACATTTCTCCATCTACTGACCTCCCACTTTCCCTCCTCCTACTCACGATCTCACCCGAATATCGTACAGGTTAGGGTCTGTTTATGGTTTTGGCCGCCGAGACCAAGATAAGTGTTCTTGGTTAGAAGGTAAACTTTTGTATTATTCCTGCATAAAAAATAGCCTGACAAAGCGTTGGATTATGCCTTTCAACGCAAGTAAGTGCAACGCTCTTCGATTTAGCAGTTCAAGAGTCTCCAGCCCGGGGGAATTACCTTTTGAACGGTACACCACTGCAATGAGTTGGCAGTTAGAAGAATTTAACTGTGTAGATTACATCTTCACTCAAACCAACACTGAAGTGCTCGAAGGCGGTCAAGTCTGTCATGTCCATATTGCAACTTATCTGAAGAGCCTTTATGGGGTCTGGCAAAGTCGGCTTCTCCAAAATATTTGCAATCTTTGTGCGGCCGCAGCTATAATACGCCATACAGGCATCAGAAGCTTAGTCTGCAAACGATTGTGTCGTTTTAGAGAAGGAGAAGAGGCGGACAACAAAAGTACCCAAAAGTCTGGGAACACAGCCCTATTAAAACGGGCTGTCAGCTCATAAACTGTGTCCACTTTCCTGCAGACAACTACGAGGTGATCTCATACTAACCTTCCGCATTATGAATGGCCTGGACTGTTGCTTTGCCCCTAGTGATTATTTCACTCAGACTAGTGCGTCCAATTTTTGTGCTTATCCCCTAAAACTACGCACAGATAAAGTAAGAATCAGTAGACGCAGGTTTTTCTTCAGTAATGGAGTGCGCGCAGCGCGGAACTCCCCGCCTACTGATGTCGTTCTCTAATTCTGTGTGGGTTCATTTAAATGCGAATTCGGCATGCATCACATTTCACAAGTACCAGCCACGCCCACACAGTCAGCCACCGAGATTATACTACTTGTAATAATGCAGTAGATGTTTATGTTTACCTTTTATAATTAGAGACCGCTATCTCTCACGGCGTGCAGTTATTGAAAAAAGTCGCTTCTCACTTTTCCACTGATCAGTGCTTTTTATTGGGCATTTTACAACTAATGGGAGTTCGAAGGCGTTTGTCTATCTTTCTCTCAATGAACATGAAATGAACTGTAAACTTACTCGCATTTTCGCCGTGAACTTTTTGACGCCATTGAGTCTCCTTCGGAGTCGAGTGTACGGTCTCTTGCTGGCCGAAAGGTTTGTGCAAAGGACTCAGCGCGGTCACACGAAAGTTCTCCTCTAGATCGAGAACGTTTACCCTGCGTTCCTTGTCCAGATGTCTTTGTTTCTGGGCGGAAGCCACGCATCCGACAAAACGACGGCTGTTGTGTGCTGGGACAGTGGAGCTTGCATTGGCGCGGGGCGATGCCTGACTTGGAAGTCCATCATTTGCTGCAGCCACGGGCAGTATGATGCCTGAGAGAGTTTTTGACAGCGTCTCTTGGTAATCGCGGCTCACGCTATCCGAGTCCTGCCATAGAAACTGTTCATTATCAGATTTCGAGGAGGTTGAGTAAGTCTCCGTCTCGGGGCCGTCGGAGGAGCCTTGTGACATTTCCAAACGTACTAATTTGGCCAGCCAGTGATTAACAATAAGCTTTAACTGAAATCGAAAAGAATATTGGGGTTTTGAACTACTTGAATCTGAATTGCTTCTTTCAATGTAAGTTCAGCATGATTTTCTAGTTGAATTCCATACCCAAGGAGGGACTTCCTCCGTGCAGATGGATCGGTGGTGATAGCTGAGGACCAGTACTGTGAACACGATTGACAGGGAGCACAAAATCATGGTGCAGGAAAAGTAGATCCCTAAAAGTCAGACGGGAAGGGAAAATAATTAATCAGTTCATCTGGACTGACGAAAGCGGTAGCCACTTCGAGCAAATAGTGCTTAGCCAGTGCAATTTAGGTTGGGGAAACTGTTGTCAATCTCAAAAATTGTGAAGTCTAGCGATATAACAAGTGTGACAGCGTGAAAACAGGTTCTATACGGAAATATTGGTAGCCCCAGCCTTCTCCTTCGAAATTATGGACAGCAACGGAACTGTCTTATTATAGTTCACCAGATACTCTACGGCCTGGGAGAAGGGTCCGGATTTGATGGAATATCAGAAATGGTTGAATCTAAATTCTTCCTCTTATTCTGCCATTCAGGATAAAGAAAAGGGCGGGAAATTTTTGTATGGGGCAGTGGTTGAGGTTGTGTTGCTGATATTTTGCAAAAAACGTCTGGATGATTCGAAACATTCCCTACTATTCCTGGGTAACAGTTAGTACACAATCTGACCGGTATGCGTATCCATTTGAACACACTACTTATTTGATTTCAGTAGCCTACTTATTGTAGCTTTAAATTAACCACAGTATG